ATATATATATATATATATATATATATATATATATATATGTTTTAATATCACTAATGGATTTTATTTTTTTATTATGTGTAAATAATTTAAATATTATTTTTTGAAAAACATAATAAGATGATAAGTGGTGGGTACCCGTAGTGGGCACCCGTACCCGGTGGGGGTGGGGGTGGGTTCTGAAAAAGTCCACCCGATGCGGGTTGGAGGTAGGGATGGGTGGAGAAAATATAAAGTTGGTCGGGTGATGGATGTAGCCTTCCCCGACCCACACCCGACCCATTGCCATACCTATATATATATATATATATATATATATATATATATATATATATATATATATATAATGTTATATCAATTAAATTTAATTGTTCAAAAGTTTATAATTTTTATGTATTTAAATTTTTCGTAAGATAGATTAATTTATTATGAAAAGGTAAATAGAAATGAGCGAGACATTAATATTGCAATATAAAATACAACAAAAATAAATAAATAAAATAAGGTGGCACTCATAAGAGAGTAAGCAAGTCAAACTACTTGAACTCGATATGATCAACGTTTTAACTTAATTTAGCTAATGTCAAGTTAAAATCAACTTGTGTAATGAATTAAGATTAATACAAGTATTTTAATATTAATTCGAGTAGCTTGCACGTCTAATTGAGTTTGTTTCAAAAAAAATTTTATATGTTTCAATAATATATATATATATATATATATATATATATATATATATATATATATGAGAACATTTTTACAAGCTAAATTTATATATTTAAATAGTATTTTGTAGACCATTATAATAACATATAATAATAGTTTATTATCGATTTGGTCTCTTGACTATTAGGATTTCACAAATTTTGTCATCTACTACCAATGTTTCTCAATTTAGTCCTCAATTATGTATTTTTTACCTGAAATGGTCATCGGTCTATTTTTATGTCAAACTTGAAGGGTAAATTTAGAATGCCTTCTAGTTATCACATTTTGTATGCATGTTTGCAATTATTAGCAATCATCTTCATCATCTTCTTCTGCAGTTTACGTCGATTGCTAATGATTGAAGGGTAAATTTTGTAATTTTCTAGCAAAAGATTGCTAATAATATGACCAATAAAAAAACTATTGGCTATTGAAACTTTGAAATTGAAAGTTTTGTAGGCTACAATATGACCAATCAATGGCAACTTTAAAACATACAATTTTCTAGCAAAAGATTGCTAATAATTGCAAACATGCATACAAAATGTGATAACTAGAAGGCATTCTAATTCATCAAAAGGAATATTTTGTATTAAAAAATATTAGATATAATGCACAAACTTAAAATTAATACTATGCATTCATACACTTCTTTGTTTTTTTTTTTTTTTAAATCTATTTTTGAAATTTATTATTTATATTTATGATTTCATGCATCGCACGAGTGACATACTAGTTTTGAGTAAAAAAAAAAAAGTTTATATTAAGCATATTCAAGTCAAGTTTGAACTTTAGTTTTTGAATCAAGCTGAATTTTATACTTTAACTATTTGGACTCGACATAATTTGATTACACCACTAGTTTATCCTAACAAAATATGATGTAAAGCACTAGTTCTTTTATTAGTATTTGTTACTTCTTTTTAAACAAAAATGACTTTATGGCCCAATGGATAAGGCAAAACCAGAGATTCTGGATTTCAGGGTTTGATCCCTAGTGAAGTCAACTAAATTAATTTTCTTTATCAGTGTATATTATGTTTTGTTACTTCCTATCAGTGTATATTATGTTTTGTTACTTCCTAATCCTAACTAGTAGAAATAACTCTATGGGCAATGGATAAGTCGCTATGTTATGACTTCATGGCCCAACAATGGTTTGATCCACGCCGTGTGTATATTTTTTAAAGAAATTGTGGAATGAATTTTTTGGTACATTTGTATTGCACGGTATGCTACGGATTGAGAGGGAATATTAATTGATAATTAAAAATCTACACCACCAATCATATATTATTTCAATGGTCCACACTTGCACGATAAAAAAACACAAAAAATAAATTATTTTATTTCATAGAATACCTTATTTTAACAAAAGTACATTATACATTATTCCAACTCATAAAATACATTATTCCAACACATAAAGTACATTATTCTAACTCATATAATACATTATCTTACCTCAAAATTTTAATTATTCTTACACATATAAAGTATATTACGGAGTATTTTAATACATAAAGTACATTATTCTAACACATAAAGTATATTATTCTAACTCATATACATTACTTTATCTCAAAATGTTATTTATTCTAATACGCGCTCGGAACAAGGATTTTTTAAACATCAATAATTTGCCCCAACCACTATTAGGATGACTTGACCCAAATTTATTGAGATGGACTATTAATTGATAGTTAAACATCTACATCACCATATGATTTGACTTTATTATAACAAAATTTTCAATTTATATAGAATTGCAAACTAGTGTTGTGTTAAAATGTTTTTTTTCCCCTTATTCCCTTACTTGGAGATGTTTTATTGAAATGCTTAATAATAAAGTTTATTATTTTATTTGAATAATGTATTTTGGCGTATATTTTTTACGCACTAAAGCCGCCATGTATATTCTTATTATTAAAAGAAATTGTGGAATGAATTTTTTGGTACTTAGTATTACACTATTGGTATACTCAGGAAAGTAGCATTTCATGATTATAAATTCAATAAATGGAGAAATTAATATTTGCTATTCAAATAAAATAATAAATATTATTAAACATCGGAAGAAAAACATCTCTAGTTGAGGAAATAAGCAAACAAATATTTAGGTCAAAGTACCAATGAAGTCCCTGTACTATAGTGTTTTGTTCAATTTAGTCCTTGTATCTTTATTCTGTTCAATTTAGTCCCTCTACTTTAAAAAATGGTAAAATTAAGGACAATTGTCTAAATCTCATTATGAACATGGTCGTAATTATTTATTTTAGACATACTAATTTAATATATTGGTAGTAAAAATGATAGATTTTAAATATTTATAAAGTAATATATGAGTAGGAATATAAATATCATCAGTGCCACGTAACCTAAGTTAACGATAATATTAACATCGTTAACTATTGTCCTTAATTGCACTACTTTTGAAAGTACAGGGACTAAATTGAACAAAATAAAAGTATAAGGACTAAATTGAACAAAACGCTATAGTATAGGGACCTCGTAGATACTTTAACCCAAATATTTATGCTAGTTTACAATTCTCTATAAATGAAAATTTATGATAAATGTCAAAGCATATGATGGTGTGGGTGCTTAGTGGCTAAGGGCAATGTCAACAATGAATTTTAATTATTTATTTGTTTAGAGTTTTTTTAAAGCTTTTTCCTTATCATTGGAGGAGAGAGGAGAGAGTGTGCATTTTTATTTTTATTTTTTGTTTAAATTACATCCTCTCATTTCTTATGTTTTAATATAATTTAACAAAAAGACCATGGTCAATCTCCTAGATTTTCCTCTATAATTTGAACACTACCCTAAGATCCCATAGAAATTTTCATCATCAACCGGAGCAGGGGACTTCAATTTCTTAGCCAAAGTTGGACTATTATCTATTGAAATAATTGGCAACAACTCTAACAGGAACCATTTAGATCTAATAATTAAATTGATCCGCTTGTCTCGTAACAACTTCAACTTAAATTCTTAATCTCTTTTAGAACTATTGTTACTCCACTCCACCTTACTATACAACCACTTTGGTGTTGCTTTTGAGAAAATTAATTGAAGTCTATTTTAGGATGTGAGTTGTGGAGAATTTTATTATTATTAATTAATATATATATATATATATATATATATATAAACATAAATTTAAATTTTAAACATTTATATTGATAGAAAAATAAAAATAAAAGTTTAAAAATGTTCAATTTATTCTTACCTATAATATTTTAACAATTAACATATTTAAATTTTGTTTTAAAATACGTGTCACTCGGTTTATTAAAAAAATTAACTTAAAAAAATATTCAAAACACATATATGTTTTTTTTAAAACAATATTTTACATGTGCTAATAGTTTGAAATTTAAAATTTTAATCATTTTTATAATTTTTTTTCTGTCAATATAAATTTTTTAAAAATTAAATTTAAATGTATTGTAATGTGTATGGAACTTTTTAAAAAATATATAAATAAATTTCTTTACCGCTGTTTAAAAAAAAAAAAAAAAAAATCTCTACCGCTCTTATCATAAGATGCTCTTTTATTACATTTTGTAGAATAATACCAAAGTGAATACATAGTAAAATGGAGTAAAATAGAATGATAATGATAATACATTTTATAGAAGGTTAAGAGTTCAAATATAATTGAAGGCAAAACTGTCATTTATTTTGTAAATTTTTATAATTTTATTGGGAGTTAATATCTAATTTGATGCTCGATTATTAGGATTTCGTCATTTTGGTGCTCGATGTCTAAATTTGTTTAATTTCATCTCAAATTATGCAATTTTTATCTAAAATAATCTTTTGTCCAAACCAAAATAGTTATGATTATGGCCATTTTAGTTAACAATTACATAATTAAGAATGAAATTGAACATGCTTGAAAATTAATGACCAAAGTGGTGAAATTATAATAATCGAGAGATCAAAACGGGTATTAACTCTTTTATTGATTAATTTAAGTTTTAACTAATAATTCGCAGTGAATTATAGAATAGATATATTACTTTGTAATAGAGTCAATAGTGTTAAAACAAAAAATTTAATTCAACGAAATAAATTTAAGAATGAAAAATAACTTTATTCACCAAATTTGGACACAATTATTATTATTATTATTTTTTTTGGAAAACAATTATTCTTATTTTGCAAAAAATCAGCAATAAAAAAATGTGGACACCAAATTACCAATGCAATTAAAAGCGCGGGCCCCATTTTACGCACACACCAAATGCGCTAGCAGCTTATACAAAGTTACAAACCATACCGAGTAGCGAATTCACATTCATATACACTCATAGATCGTACCAGCACTCAGAGAGTCAGAATAAGAAGAAGAGGAATGGCGAGTCTGAAAGTTCCAGCATCTGTTCCTTCTCCGACCGAGGACGCCGAGCAACTCCGGAAGGCTTTCGCAGGTTGGCTGATCATACAATTACATTCAGATCTTTGCTGTAATGATGAAATGTGTGTGTTTATGCGTTAGTAACGTCCGATTCTGACCTTTTGCATCTCTCATTCTCTCATCGTTAATTATCCTTGAGACGCATGTGTTCATCAACGTCGATCTCCCTTAATATTTGCATTATGGAATTATTTTGATCTGTAATCCTTGATCACTGTTTCTGATTGTTAGATACCTTTTGCTTTTAAATCGATTATGTATACATCCACCGAACAAGGATGTGGAAATGAGGTCCTGCGGTGTTGTTTTGTTTTTCCTTCTTCACACTCGATTTATCTTAGAGAAGTTTGACTTTGTACAAGGTTTTCAGAAATCTTGTCAATCTGTATTGTTTTTTTTTTTTTTTTTTTTTTCCAAGCAATTATGTCACGTGAAAGAGCTTAATTACGATTTCGATGAGGCTTGTGATTTCCTGTACAAAATGTTTAAATACAGTGGAATCACAAGATGTTAATATGCATATCTTATTTACAGTTGGAATGAACTGATAATATATGTAATTTTGATTTTAAAATTTGCAGGATGGGGAACAAATGAGGCACTCATTATTCAGATATTGGCTCACAGGAATGCAGCACAGCGCAAGTTGATTCGTGAAGCTTATGCTGCGACTTATAAGGAGGATCTTCTCAAGGACTTGGATGCCGAACTTTCAAGTCACTTCCAGGTTTATTTTGAGTGCTTCTACTCTGATATACTTTGTTGACTTAGTTTTCTGGTCATTGTTTCATCCTCCTTTAAATTGGCTAGAGTTCCAAAATCTAATTAGCGTGTATATATGCTATTATTTGCGTGACATAACAGCGTGCAGTGCTGATATGGACATTGGTACCAGCAGAGCGAGATGCATTCCTGATTAATGAAGCCACAAAACGGCTAACGGCTAGCAACTGGGTTATAATGGAAGTTGCTTGCAGTAGGTCTTCCTATGATCTCTTTAAGGTCAGGCAGATGTACCATGATCGTTACAAGAAATCCCTTGAAGAAGATGTTGCATATCACACATCTGGGGACATCCGGAAGGTATTTTGCATTTTTGTGTACTCTGGATCTTGTAATTTTCATTATTTAAATTTGGTGTCTCAATGAAAAGTTATTGAGTATCTATATTTGGGGTCTCAATGTTGCCTGATCTTTTTCTTCCTAGAGTAAAGATGGATAAATAACTATCGCCCTGACATAAGAAATTGTGAAGAATTTGGAAATTATGTACATTTTGTTTGTCCTCCTTCATGAAAGTGAAACTGATGCATAGGCAGGTTAATTATTACCCTAACTAATATCCAAACAGCTTTTGGTTCCTCTTGTGACTGCATTCAGGTATGAGGGAGTTGAGGTCAACTTGACATTGGCAAGAAACGAGGCTAAGATACTTCATGAGAAGATCTGTGACAAAAAGGCTTATAATGATGATGAGATCATCAGGATCATCACTACTAGGAGTAAAGCACAGCTGAATGCAACCCTGAATCAGTATAAGGATCAATTTGGGACTTTAATCAACAAGGTAAAACTCAATCTCTTATTCACAAGTACATAGTTCTTTGAATGGTTTACATTTTAACTCGGCCAAACCATACACTTTATACTACAATTCAATTTGGTCAATGTTGGTGTTAATTAAACCTAGGGGCACAACATAACCTCTAGGTTGAGCATTAATAATGTAAAGAAATAGAATATTTTTTGAGTACTATTGACTCTATTACAAGGTAGTATATGTTCTATACTTTCTCTATCTATTGCAACTCAAAGAGTCAATATCCCATCACCGGGGTTCGATCCTATGACCTTCCCTCAAGCACTCCCATGTAAAGAAATAGATTGAGACAAAATTTTAACATGGAAACCCAAAAAAGAAAAATCACATGTCTTTTTGGACCTCAAGCCAAGGATTCCACTATTTGATGCAATAGTATATGTATAATTATGACTAGACTTTGATTGGAAGCCATTAATGGAGCTTTTTATCTATAAATAAGGTGTAGTAAAGACTAAGGGGTTGAATGAGGTTATTCTTGGCAAGAGTGAGGGAAATTTTGGGTAAGTTGGCAAGAATGATTAGAGCGGCGGTCTTTACTCCATTTTAAAAGTGAAAGCTAGAAGGGTTAAATAGGGAAGTTGCTCTTCTTAGGTTTCAAATGAGGTTTGAGTGGAATCCATTTTTTGGGGCCAATTTTCATGGACCGGTAAATCACTCGAATCATTAAGACAATCATGTCTTGATAAGTTGGGATAATAATCCCAACTGGTTGAAATTTGTTTTTAGAGCCACTAAAAGAAGGAATGGGAGTGATGGATTGAGTCAATAATGGGTTAATGAAATTTAACTCATCTACCATAACCGTTTTGTATTTGAAATAGCATATGCTATTTGAAATTCACTTTTTTAAAAACAATTGTTAACACAAAGTCAAAATTTTATAACAGGTCAGAATGGATAAGTCGCTCAAATAACCTATACTCCAAATCAGTTTAGACCCATCCAAAATAGTCCATAGTTAATTTGAGCGGATTGAAATGTCTTCAATTTTTTTTTTCTAGAATCCATTTTGACCCATCCCACAACCTTGTGAGTTCTGAATTGGTTGTCCAAACTACCTCAACTTAATAGTTACTAAGTAGTTATAGGTTGCTGGGTAATTTCATTTGACATGCGTGCAGGATCTGAAGGAAGACTCTAAAGATGAGTACCTCACCTTACTAAGAGCAGCAATCAACTGCTTGACATGCCCTGAGAAGTACTTTGAGAAGGCTCTTCGAATGGCGATCAAGAAGCTGGGAACAGACGAATGGGCCCTTACAAGAGTAGTGACAACCAGAGCTGAGGTTGACATGGAGCGTATTAAAATTGAGTATCAGAAGAGGAACAGCGTTACTCTGGAACGTGATATTGCTGGAGACACCTCTGGAGACTATGAAAGGATCCTTTTAGCTTTGATCGGCCATGAATAGTATTCCTTATCCTGGATGGAACCTAGCTCTCTGCCTGGAGTTTGTGCTGTGCTCGTTTCCTGATCCTTTCATTACTTTGTCAGAATAATTCTGTATTGGACTCAAGTTTGATTTGCAATAAAACTTGATCACCATTTCAACATACATTTGTTGGGGTTAACCAGTCAGCTTTGAAAACTAAGAAATACTTAGCAGCATATTTTCCTCCCCCAGTAAACATGAAAATGAAAATTTTCAATACTATACATTTTTGGGACATAAATTGTTTGCTGAGTTGAGAAGGACAAGCATAAAATCCGAAACCCACAATGATCATAAGTTCTAAAATATTCTGCTTAATTAACAGGAATCTTTAGTAGTAATCCAGGTAGTATTAGCAATAGTGCATGGGATGTAACAAAATCAGAAAGGGAAACATAAAATGTCAGTGATAAGCTACTAGGTACTAGCAATGGCCAATGGGAACTAAATTAGCACTAATTCATACATTACCAAGAAATATTCAAGTCTTTAGAATTGTTCTTACACCATGGCTCATGCATCTCGAATCTACCAGCCTCACTTGTCATTCTCATGAACCGTTAAGTGTACTTCATTAGTTAAAACCAGCAGCCTTAGAAGGATCATAATTTACTATAAAACTTAAAACCAGTTTGATGAGAGTTAAAAGTTAAACAAGTGAAATGCTGCTCTCACCACCTGGTGGTTTGCGGACACCACCAAAGTAATCCCTGGATTGAACTTTTCCGTCAGCAAATATGTCATTGCCACTCATTTCTTTCAGCTTTGCCCTGCTAAGATGCTTCTCAGCAGACCCTGGGACATCTCCCTTGAAAATGTCGTTGCCAGTCAACTCTGCAAACTTCTGGTCGTGTATTTTCTTTGTTGTTTTCACAACAGGTTCGTCACCAAACATGATATTGCTTTGGCCTCCAGCAGGCTGTAAAAGAAGACAAAATGTTAGTCCAAAATAGCTATAGTTAAAATGTTCAAAGAAGGGTGTACTACAAATTGCAAGGAACAAAAATATTGATAAAAGGATCACTGATTCTATTTCAAAGGCATTCAAGTTTTATAGTTATCCATGTCCCTGGATGAAATCTCAGGGGGGGTCAAACATATGTTATATGTTTATTATTGGTATAGTTTATTAGTGTGTTAATGTGTATATATGAAGTAGCAACACAATGGAACAATATAACAAAACAGGGAAAAGGGCCAAATAAGCTCTCAAAACCATTTGGGAAACTTCAATTGCACACTTGGAATTAGCAAAAAAAAAACCTAAACTTAACAAAAAAGAACAATTAGCCACTTTAGTAAGTGACTTGCTATAGTAGGTTATGGAACTTATGGTTGACATGGCTTTCGTGTGTAACATTCTTTGACTACATGGATGCTAGATATATCATTTTTATATTTTTTTTTTTCTTTTGACCAAAGTTTTAAAAAATAAAAACAAAAACAAACTAACTAGAACACATCAGAGGACAGTCATGGATGTCAATTTGGTTGTCCAGATCTGGACAGCTAGATCAACTGCCATGGCCATCTGAGACCTTGAAGAGACAGCCATGGGCCATCCAAATTGACAAACATGACTATCCTTCTCCGGTGCATTCCAATTTTTATAACTTCGGTCAAAGGGAAAAAAAATGATACATGTGGCATCCATATAAACAGAGAATGTTACACATAAAAGCCATGTCAACGATAACCTGCTACAATAGGTCACCTAAAATGCTACGAGTAAAAAGGGGCTAATTACTCCTCTTTTCAAGTCCAGGTATTTATATGAAGTTTGTTCTAGACTTCTAGTTCAAGGGTGCAATTGAACTTTTCCTAAATAGTTCAAAGGCTTATTTGGGGCTTTTCCCAAAAAATAGAAAAGAAATTATACCATGAGTATGGCATTTCAAAGAAATGGTAATTTATGGTCATCACAACTTAGTTCAATTAATTTTTAAGTTTGATCTCAAACTTGATTGAAAATTAAAAATTTGTATCAAAATTGTGTCAAGATAAGAGGACACTTCTATCCTATAGAACATAAGATTAAAAAATTGCAAGATGAAATGTATAGTGTTCTACATGTCTGTATGTGCAGGGAGTGCCCAACAGAGGCACATTTCCTCAAATTTGGTGTCCATGCTCTGAAGATAGCAGGAAAAAAGTGTAATTGAGTAAGGGAAGGCAAAAGTATAAATGAGAACCAAAGACAACTCACATTAGAAACCTTGACAGACGTGCGGACATTACGAGGAGCAGGCTCACCCATAAAATTGCTTTCTTTTGATTCCATTGAGCGCGCAACAGTCAATGATCTAGGAGGAGCTTCAGAAGGAGGACCAAATATGTCGTTTCCACTAAGTTCCTTGCACTTTGCATCTGACAGCTGCTTCTTGTTTTTGAGATCTGATTCACTTTCAAGAGTTCCACTCAATTCACGCTGTTTTGCCACCTCAGGTATAGTGGTAGGCTTTTTCGGGGAAATTTTTTCTTCAGTACTGAATGAAATCTGGCTTATTCCATTCGCAGTTTGCTAGAAATGGAATATGATAATTCAGCAAAAATCTTTGGATTCTCTTTATTTAACATGCTGGAATTTACATCCACTGAGATATATGTACATGTATTTTACAGGTAAAGAGGAAGAAGTACCTGAACTATACGCACTGATGTTCTATTACTCAAATTGCCATTAGTTCCAGATTCTGAGGCATCATTCTCACTGTCAGCAGAAAATATATTGCTGCCATTCATCTCCTTCAATTTATACCCTGAACAAGGTTTCCTGAAATACCATAATACAAACAAGCATTGATTGAGAAATGAAAGGAGTTCAAATTTGTAAACGCTTGCCTTTTTAGCCCTGTTGTCAAAGCCCCTTCATTTTTCTTTCAAAATTTTTTAAAAATTCAATGCTATTACAAAGTGCAAGTTGGAACTTCATAGTGAGGTAATAATATCATGAAGTTCAGTTACCAACAAGATTCAGATCAGGCAACTTCCTAAATCTAATGCTTTCTGTTCTTTAAAATGCTATATTTTGGCAGAGAGATCATCCACTGCAAAGTAGTTGCTTATGCATGTAACAACATAACCTCTCCAATAAAAATGACAATGATCTCAAAGGAGAAAACTACTTATGGTGATAGTGATTGTAATAGAAACATAATGACTTTTTAAATTTAATATTATTATTTGAACTGTCAATTTCACCTCAAGTATTAACTTTTTGCCATTGAATCCAATAAATTTGAATAAAAAAAAAAAACAAAAATTGATACAGGAGGACCTCCAAGTTCAAATCTAATGAAGAACTACAGAATATCAGCAAAAGCCTTCAGCCATTACAGGGAAAATTATTAAAGCCAAATTTATACTTTTAAGTTACTAATTGCATTGGAGTAGGCAAAGATCTTTCTCCATCTTCCTTACATGCATGAGCTTATAAGTAATAACCAGTTACTAATGATTTCGCGTGTAGTCAAGAATCTAGAGAAGAACATTAGCTAAAGTACTAAACAAGAGTAAAGGAAATCAAATTTCGCAAAAGAAAAACAATAATCAAAGATTTACAAACAGATCTATGAGATAATGAGAATATCCAAACACTAATCAAGTGGAAAAAAGCAAAACATGAATACATAAGCAAGGATCCGAACTTTATGAACAAAAAGTTCACATGCGCCGCAGGGACAATGTTAAACAAATACACAACCAAAAAAAGCGAAGAAATTACTGTATTATTAAAACGGACATTTGTCCATTTTCGTTTAAATCTGAATATTTTACCGTTTGTTCAGGCTCTGAGCTTCCTCATCAGTAATCTGACCTCCAAAGAGCACCTTGCCGACTCCGTCAGAAGGCTATAAGAAAAATAGAAACACAGAGATCAAGTCAGTCAGCTGAGGGAGGAACAAAAAGGCATAAGTAGCCGCGAAACGAAGTAAATAACTACCTGATGAGAAGTACGGGAGGCGGAGCGAGAAGCGTTGCCGGCGGCGAGGGAGGAGTCGGATGCCGGCGTCTCGGACCAGGTGAGTAGATCGGCGGTGGAAGTGTGCGGCTTCCGAACAGGCGTCGCTCTCTCCGCCATTGCTTTGATGCTTGAGCTAATAGTATAGTGTGTAGATAAGAGCGGTGAAAGATAGATTTAGTCTGCTTCTGCCTGTGAGTATGCTTTTATTTGAAAATTGAAACGCTACTTTGCTCTCTCTTCTCTTTCTCTCTCTCTCTTTATTTTTATGGGATAAAGTGGAAATTTGAAAAAAAAACTTAGACAGAGACTCAGCAATTCACATGCAGTGGCGTACAGGAGAAGTTGTCGCACTGAATCTTTTAGATATTTTCTTTTTAAAATTTTTAAGGTGCGCGGGACCCATTGGAAATGATGTGGTTCAGCCACGTGCAATAACAACCCATGTGAGGATCTACTGTTTACTCCTCTTTCATTTCTTTTTTAAAAAATCTCAAGTACAAGTGTACAACCAAATGCTTTTTAGTTTGTAGGATAAGCAAACTATTCACTATTTGTTTAATAAAACATGTTTATATTGATTTTATTTTTCAATTATAAGGTCATTAGGTGAATAAAAATATTTGGTAAGTTTTTGACCCACATAATATGTAGTCATTGTAAGAGACATATACTTTGTCCAATGCAACATTATGAGTTTTTTTTTTTTTTTTTTTTTTAAAATTTCGTGATGTTAAAAACATTATAGTAGAGTTTTTTTTAACTAATTTTAATGAAAAAGTTATATTTTATATTTTAATTATTTTTATTTTTGAATAAACGTGGTCCTTCCATCTTTAAAATGTTAATTTGGTCCCTTCACTGGAACTGAGTAACTAGCTTAATATTAGGGGTGTTCGTATAGTGAATTTGCAATGAATATTGATACTGCTAATTCTACGTAAGTAATATAAAATAAACCCGAAACCAATTAAAGCAAGTAAAAATCTTTATTGATCACGGTAAAGGCCCTAAGTACAATCTACTTGGTTGCCCTGAGTGCCGACTGACTGCGGTCGGGATTCTCTAGTTACAACCTATCGATCGTCCAAAAGTCCTCTACACTGTAGCTACTGTGGGTATTTATAGCCGCTGCGCCGGAGACACAAATCCGGTCGTTCGGCATGCTCTCCACGTAGCCACCACGTGTCATCCTCCCGGGTGCCCTATCTGTCGCCATAGAGAGCCGCCACGTGTCCTTTATCAGCTCCCTCGCCAAAGGGCTACCGCTCGGTGGTTGACATTACCGCTCGGGCAATTCCCGGTCGCTTCCCGACCAGGTTCTTCATAAAGAGCCCGACCTGCTACCTGCAAAGACAAAAAGACAAAGACAAAGGCACCTCGGTCGTGGTAGAGCTATGGCGGTCGGGATATTCCCTACCAAAAGCCCCCCAGCCCGGGCCTTTTTGACCGTCCGGAAAAAAACGGGACGGGATGAAGAAGCCCAAACGTCGGCCATCAAACCGACCGGCCAGCTGTCATTCCTTCCCTCGCCACGTGTCGGCTACTGCCGGCCTCGGCGACTGCAACGGTCGCCTCGGAATCAATGCGGGTCGTGTCACGCAAGTGGACTCGTTTTCCCGCCTAAACGCTCTCCTATAAATAGGCCCTTGAGGCCTTCATTTGAACTTTCATCAATCCACTGAAGCAATCGGTACCCTCAGAGAGTCCCGAGCAGCAGTTCAGCGAACCAGTCGAGCAAACCAAGCTTCAAGTTTTCTTCCAAAGTATCATCAACCGGTAAGCTCTCAATCCCTTATATTTTCCTCCGTTCTTAACTTTGCGTAGGAGTAGGGTAGAACTAACTTCGAACTAACTTCCCGAACTCTGTACTAACCCCGACCGACCTTTAGGTAGAAAAATATGTCGGACTCGGATAGCCAGAACGCTTCAGTCGCAGACTACGACAACACGATCGAGCAGAGCAGCGAGGAGGTGGACATCATGTCCTACTCTCCAGAGGTCGAGCAACGACCACAGCACATACCCGACCGAGCCCCCGGGCCAGAAGGGTCATCGAGCTCGTCGGGGACATCCGGGTCGAGCTCTAGCGGGTCGGGGAGCGATGAGACGTCCAGGAGCGGACGAAATTCCCCGGATGCAGGCGTTAGGGAAACGCCTACGAGGGTAATAGGGGATTACCCTCAAGCTGAGCCCGAGGTGGGACACCGGGCAAACGAAACGGAAGCGGTCGAGGAGGACCTGGCCGGGCCGGCGACGCCAAGCGGGGACGGATTTGAGTTCCTCAACAGCGAGAGCGTCGAAGGCCAGATGAGCTTGCTAACGAAAGGAGAAGCAAGCAGAATCGCGGCAACTCTCGCTGGTCGGGTCGAATTCGACACCAGCAGGCAGCTCGGGAATATCATCGAGCGGCATCAGGGGAGGTGGATCGGGATGCATTACGATTCGTTAATGGCCCCGATCACGTTCCCATTCTCCAGCCTCCTCACCGCATTCCTGGGCTACTACCAGGTTATGCCCGGGCAGATTTGCCCGAACGCGCACCGTATGATCGCGTGTTTCCCCCAGATCTGCAGTCGGCACAACTTAGCCTGCACCATGGAGCTCTTCAACTTCATCTACCAAGTGAAGGTGCTGGCGGCCGCGTACGGGGGTGGATTTTTGATGACCCAGTCCCGAGCGGATAAATGCTCGATTGAGGGGCTGCCCGGGAACAACCGGGGGTAGAAGAACCAGATCTTTTCAGTAAAATATGATCCGTGGATCCTCCCGGTCGAGAGGGTCTGGAGCCAACATTTTCGAAGGCAAGTCATCCCAGTCGAGACTCAGGCCCTCATAGATGCTGTGACCAAGATCTCGAGCGAGATTTACGAGTATCGCATCTTCAAATCGCCCGAGTGCTACGAAGCGGCCCAGCTCCCCGACCCGGTTTACGACCTGGCCGAAAAATACAAACCCGAGCCGGCGGGTGTAACAATTGCAAGGATGCCCGCTCGGGGCAAAAGGAAGGGTAAAGGTTCGAGGCTAACTACTTTCCCCGACCCTTTATATTCTGACTGCTCTTTATCTTCCCGACCTAACTGTTTATTTTCTATTTTGCAGAAATGGCCGAATTCGGAGATGACGACACTTCCCTTCCCCCACCCGCCAAGATTTCCCTTGGCGGTAAGAAGAAAGCGAAGGCGAAGCCAACCGGGCAAAAGGAAGTCCCGGTGGCCCGACCCCTGGGGACCTCGCCCATTACAACGGCCTAGGGCTTTGTGGTCGAGCCGAGCGACGTACTGATCACCCGGGTGGAAGTCGCCCGGGGCAAAGAAAAAGCGCCGGAGCGGGGCGTAACTGAGGTGGGCGGTATCAAACGCCGCCGAGAACAGCATAGCCCGAGCCCGTCGACCGGGCGAAACAAGGACGAGTCGTCCATACTGGCCCGTATCAGCAACGCCGGGCCAGTTAAAGTAGACTTGGGGAAGATGACCCCCACTCAAGTGGCTGAACGGATTGGCCACGACCTGGCCGAGGTAAGCACCTTCTTCTTCTAAACTTTATGCAAGTGCTTCTGATCAAGCTAACTAAATATTTTTCCATTGCAGATCTCCCGAGCGGCTCAAGTTCTACAAGGTCGGGCCATGCTAGCCGAGGAAGCCGACCGTCACAAGAAGATAGCTGCTTGACGTCTTCAGGAGGTTAAGGACATCCAGGCCGAGCTGGAGAAGGTCGAAAAGGCCTTGAAGAAGAGTGAGGAGGACCGGGTCCTGGCGGAGAAGGTCGCCCAACGGGCGATCGGGGAAAACAAGGACCTGAAAACCCGATTGGATAATCCGAACGAGCTGGCCCAATCAGCTTTCAAGGATGACAAAGTAGGCTCAGCCTTCCTCACAGCCGCTCGACGGACGAAGGTCGGGGAGGATCTAATTCTATCCTTTGGTCGGTGGGCCTTCAAGGCCGGCCAAAGGAAGATGCTGGAGAAAGCTCAAAAGCGATTGGGGCAAGCTCTCGAAGGAGACGACCTCCAACTCGTACTGTCTGCACTCCCTCCCGACTTGGCTGATCTCGATCCTTCCCCTTTTGCCTCAAAGGAGACTACTGCCAACCCGACCACGTCAACGGGAACCACCCCGAGCAAGGCGGGTACTTCTAAGAAGGATGAAGCGAAGGAGGCGAAGTAGTGGTTATTTTGTAATGAACTTAATCGGGAGCCCGGTCCCGAATTTGTACCGGGCACTCTTCCCGACAATCAATAAACTTATCGGTTATTTAACTTGTTCCGTTCGTTTTTGCTTTACGTTTTTGTTTTCAAAGCGCGTATACCGATCGTAAATGCTCGACCTCACGGCCGTTTAGCCCGGTCGCACACTACTCCGCTCACTCAATATATCCGACCTTGTGGCCTTATGGCCTAGTCGTGCATCCAAGATTTCGACGTCACATTGGCCTAACCGACCGAGTGAGAATAGGTAGGCCTCCACGTTCGGGATATCTCCAAACGACGGACCTATGTAACGTCATACTGGCCAACCTGATCAGGTTTACCCGATCTCCTGGCCTTGACGAAATTTTGAAAATAAGTAAGCCCCCGCGGTCGGGTCTTTCCCGAGCGACGGGCCTACAGACACTTCCTTATCCCAGCCCCCACACTATTGTGCTCTCGAGGCACGAGTGAGTGCGATTGTGTAAAGAAGTTGAATAGATCGGGGAATTATGCTGAATGCTCCTGGCTTCCCCGATCAAATGGCGTGACCCGAATGTCCGCCGAAGAGGAGCGTATTTGACCGGTCGCTAAACTCGCTCGGTCGATGTAACTTGATCTGCATGTACTAATAGGTATAGAAAATAACCGACCAGGCCGCCGCATGCAAGCGGTCGAGCAATCACCGATCGTATATACATTAAACCTCCCCGCTCGCAGGCGGTTAACAAGTATTTACAATAATAAATTTAATTACAAATGACGACCGGGACCGACTCGCAGGTCGAGCCCCCACTTCGTCCAAAGATTACAAAAAATAGGCTAGTGCCTAAACATAACGAGGTGCTCGGAATTCCAAGTCCCCTCGATTATCCGACCGGTTGTCGTCTCCAGTCGATATGTACCCGGCCGTATGATAGCGCTGATGATGTACGGCCCTTCCCAGTTTTGAGCTAGCTTTCCGCCTTCCAAAGGTTGACTGGCCTCCCTTCGTCGTAGAACATAATCTCCCACCTGGAAATAACGAGGGTTGACCCAAACATCCTTCGAACTCTTGACCCGCTTCTGATACTCGGCCATACGCCGAGCGGCTA